CCGAAAAAGACAAATGGTTTATTTTCACTGACTCACAAGTAGCCATACAAAAGATTAAGAATACAATAGATGGACAGTGCAACGATCATTTAGAATTAGAGATTATAGAGCAGCTAATATCACTCAACCAGAAGACCATTGTGATGCAGTGGATACCAAGTCACATAGGATTACCTGGCAATGAAAAGGCTGATAAACTGGCCAAGACCGCAGCTAATTCAAATGAAGCTATAGACAAAGAATTCATTACACCTATGTCAGACATAAAGGTTTATATTAAACATAAATACAAGATTAAAGAATATACAGAATTTGACAACAATGTTAAAGGACAATGGTACAAAACCATTCAACCTAAAGCACCTCAAAAGCCATGGTTTTGTAGCTACAGGCTAAGCCGGGCTGACACTACACTAATTTGTAAATTAAGATTTGGCCATGTATACAATGCTATGAGACTATTCCAAATGAAAAGAACAGAACAGACTATTCCAAAAGAAACAGAAATCCAACTTTAATAATAGTCCAACAAGACATAAAAATAAAAATTGACTTTTGACTTTTAAAAAAACCCCGGGAAAATTGACTAAGGAAGTAGTGTGGCTACGTGGTTATTTTGAACCAAGCCAGCTTTTTAAAAGTGAACTAGAAGAAGAAGAAGAAGAAGAAGATACTACGACTACAATCAGCTGGTGCAGTATTTCCCATTCCGTTCAAGGCTTGGGTTTAACCTAAACCTAAAAACGTGTTGTATAGTGTTTGAAAGACTAATTATGTATATGATTTATAGTGACTGTAGGAAAATATAATGTGTAACACGAGTGCAAAAGGCCTTTGCTGCACTCAAGATCATTCCACACTCCCCTGCGGCTCATGCGTAAACATTGCTCTCGTGTGCAGCAAAGTGCCACTTTGCTCACTAGTTACACAAATAACTATTTCGTTAGGTTAACAATGATATGTTCGTAAGTAAGAATATTTCCATTGGTTTTAGCTCAATATAATACAAAAATGCTCATTTTCCTACAGTTACCTAACAATGTACATGTTCTCTCACTGATTTGAGAAAGCAAAGTGGCCAATTCGCTCATCAGTGAGACAATGTTAACATTGTCTCACTCACTCCAGATTTGCAACGTGAAGGCACGAAAAATAGTGAGCGCGTAACATGCAGACAAGGTCTTATGCGCGCAAAATACGTTAGCAGCACTGGTTGTAAATCAGCTGGTCAGCTGGTTGTATTGTTGTATCATTAAATGTAATATTAAAAGTTCACTTCTGTGTAAAAAATATGTCACGTTTCTTTACCAATTTATTTGTTTTATGGTAACTGTAGGAAAAATATAATGTGTAACTCGAGTGCAAAGTGCAATTGCCTCACTCGAGAAATTATTCCTTGAGTAAGTATTTTTCTCGAGTGAGTCAATTGCTCCCTTTGCTCACTAGTTGCACAAATAACTATTTCATCACTCCGTAACGTAAGTAAACTATTTTCGATAACAGCTGACATCAATGAAAGTAGTCGTTTCCCAAGCTGTAATTTAGGGCGAGGGAAAATCGATCAGCTGATTTTCCCTCGCTCTAAATTTACTTTTCCTACAGTCACCCGACAAAGTTGGCTTCCTTGTACTGTTTATAGTACAGAAAGCTGCTAATTGCTGCATATTTATACTTTGCCGTACGGTTTATACTTTGTCGTACGGTTTATACTTTGCCGCACATCAGGATTCCAACAAAACAACACAAAACAGCGTGGTTCTATTATGCACGTAATCCGTGTACGCTTGGAAATAGGTTGGCAACACTTAAAGATAATAATACTATGAGCAGCTGATTGACTATCATAACTACGATTTAACCTGTAATTTCGTGTTTATAGTTTCGGTATTTCTGAACTTTCTGGACTTTTCTTTTAATCGTTTTTAAAACATTCCTACGATCTTAATAAACAAGAAAATACCTTTAAAGCATTTTTTTAGGCGCGGAAACCACTTCAAATTACAAAAACATACGGAACTATATTCTCAAAACGAGGAGCACATTTCTTGCCGAGGAAAAATAGCGGAGTGATACGGACCGCGGGTACTACTTTCTCTAGGGCACCATTTGTGTTGCCAGCTGAACCTAAAAACGTGTTGTATAGTGTTTGAAAGACTAATTATTTATATGCTTTATAGTGACTGTAGGAAAAATATAATGTGTAACACGAGTGAAAAAGGCCTTTGCTGCACTCGAGATCATTCCGCACTCGCCTGCGGCTCGTGCGTAAACATTGCTCTCGTGTGCAGCAAAGTGTCACTTTCACCACTAGTTACACAAATAACTATTTCCTCGCTCTCAATTAGTTCTCCATTTACTCACAACGTACACTAGTGTTTTGTTACGGTTTAATTTAATGATTTAAATCAGCTGTATGTACAGTATTGTTAAAAGTTGTTTTTTGTTTTATTTCACTGATTAATCCAAATTTATTGAAAAAATACGTATGTTGCCTTTAGAATATTTTATTTTATTTTTATGTTTTAAAAATTAATCGAAAATATACGTAGGTTTCCTTTCAGAAGATTTTATTTTATTTTGATATTTAATCAAATTGATTGAGAAATAAATTAGTTGTAATATTACTGAGGTCTACTATTCCGTGTTTGTGTATTTTTGCGTCGTGATAAAAAGTATCGTTCATAACTCTTACCAAAAGTTATTATCCGGCACTTGCTCCGAAGTGTTGACGTACCAGTGAAACCTTGCAATATTGTTTTTAACTTAAATATCATCGTAACCAATAAACCTATATCTGGGAAACGGTTAGCAACTTACTAATAAGTACTAATAAGTAATAATCTTCTATATATATAAAAGGCAAAGCCCTCACTGACTCACTGACTGACTGACTCACTCATCACTAATTCTCCCACTTCCCATTTACCTAGGAGGCTGAAATTCGGTACACCGATTCTTTGGGCATTACCTAGGAAAACTAAGTAGTTTTTATTCTGATCGGGCCTCCGGGCTCCGCCCCAGTGGCTCTGGAGTTTCCCATGTTAACCTTATGATTTTTCATATTTAAAATGAATTAATGAATCTTAACAGCTGTTTCAATTAAACAATTTGGTTCTGTTTTGTGATGTTCAATAGCATTAAAGTTACAAGGATTACCAACAGGGTGCAGCACTATTATTTTTTTTAATTTATGACAACAGCTAATTTGCAACCAAAAGGTGAGTGAGCGTAGCGAACGAACTTCAACCTGTAGGCGAGTTAGCGTAGCGAACGAGCTAACCTGAAGGCAAGTGAGCGCAGCAAACGAGCTCCAACCTAAAGGTGAGTGATCGTAGCGAACGAACTTCAACCAGGACGTATAATTGAGCCATGCGAATACTTATGAAGTTTAACGGGGCAAAGCCCGCGGGTACAGCTAGTTGCCATATAATTGCCAAATAATTAATTGTCATATGATTTTTTGCGCAGAAAACATTTTTCATTCATAAATCAGTTAGTTCTGAGATTTATCGCCAAGATAACTAAGGTAGTCTTCATTCAAATTCCACCGAAAAACGGTTTCAACTAGTTGAATGTCGAAGAGTTTGAAAGCCAGACACCCGAGCCTTTGGGGCTAGTTGCACTTGAAGTATGAAAAGAAAATATATATGTTGATGTATTGTTATTTTTGTGAAGGTTCAGTGTAGAGGATGTTTACTATCTAGGTGAGTGGCATGTGGCATTTCTTGTAAAGAAATAGCTAACACTTTCAGGACTAACCGGTTTAAACGTACCAGTAACTTCTGTGAGTAGTAAGTAAAATATTGGTACTGAGACCGTTCCTCTCGCGCCAAAGTTACGCTAATTTACTCGGCTTACAACACATCTGACTTACCAGGTTATTTATCAGTTTTTAGTTTTTATACATATTTAAAACATACGTTAATACAGGCAAGCTAGATACCAATAAAGTTTTACATGTTGGATCAAATCATAGATCCAACATGTTGTTAATCATTTTTAAAGGTCAAATCACAAATAAATACCCCCGCCGTAGCAAACATGCCGACTAAGCGAATTTCCATTTGTCTGCATTGATTATCATTAAATATATTTAAATAAATAAGGTTTAACGAGTAGGCCTACCTAGGTTTGCTGCTACAAGGAAACTAATAAAGTGTGTTTTTTAGTCAAATACTAATAGCTTAGTGTAAAATAAATTAATTTGCCAAGTTTGATCAAAATATATCCATAAACAAGCAAACTACAACATTTTACAATATTCTCCATAAGAATAACATGGGAATTTTAAATTTACAATTTTTTAAATTTTCTCCGTTACCAATAACCGAACAAAAATACTTTGATATACTAAATTATTTGTTTTTTAAGCTCTTTAAAAAGGTCTAAAGAGAAATTGGGAAATTTTGTGTTTTGAGGGTCAAAAGTGAGAAAAACCAATTTTTACCCCATAAAACCGCGTTCCCATGGTCCGATCATGCTGGTTTGCGAACTCATTCAAGTTTATCCCGCTTTACACCTTTAAACTAAATTTCATCAAAATCGGACAAAAATTACTCAAGTTATCGCGTTCACGGACACACATATATATATAAATCTATATATATATATACAGTATATATATATACATATATAAAAATTTGAACCAATGGTGTTTTTGGCCTCTGGGGACATCAAAATGAAAAATTAAATCCGTCCCGGGCCTAGGTCTTACCATGCCACCTACGGTAATAGCTACTTCCCTATAGGGAAATTTGCTAAAAATGCAATGATGTTGAAACTCATCAACATTCCATGGTTTTTAGGTCTAAAATTAAACATTATTACAGTAAAATGCCCATATCGATATCAGTGAGTTATAAATCTAGATTCAACATCGAGTTTAATTTCAAAATGATGAAAACAACGAATGAGTAAAGTAATTATAAAGAAAATTAACTTACGAGTGGTACGGTTAGTGACTATTAATCTATATATTTATCTTGTAAGTTCATATTTACCTTTGATAATCTTCCAAATCCATAATGTTCAAACACTGCTGAATGATCGTACTGAAACATTTGTTCGACTTTAAAAACAAAACTGATACTAAACACGTGCGTACCGTCCATTACCTTTGCTCTATTTTGAAATATTTTATTATTTATTAACCTGTACTTCCTTTATACATACTTTTTATAATACTTTTAAAGGATACATTATAGAGGTGTTTACTCAAGTCTTATCAAATATGCTTTGATAATATATTTAAGTTTTTTCGTAGAAAGAAGTTTATAAAATAAGTTCAAAAAAGCAAAAGAAGGTAGAAAACAGGTCGTGGAAGGTATAAAAAGGGAGTTGTGAGGCACTACAGCAATGAAAAACATATTTAATTTATTGTATATTTACTAATTTGATACTCTGAAATATTATATTACGTTACTAGTCCTGAAAATAAGTGTTTACACACATGAGTCCGGTACACACATTTTGGACGAGTGACGTACGATAGTTTACGCCATACTACTAAATCCGTACAAATCGTTATATATTTCCACCAACTAAAGGACTAAAAATCACTAGTCATAACCTCTAAGAGGGGTTATGTTTTGTTTATAACCACTCACTGCCTCCTAAATACAGTATAATCAGCTGATTGGTGTCCGGTAAAACTCATTATAGCACAGTAGTACGCAATGAAACCCCATTTGAATAAGCTGGCGGCAAACAGATGTTTTCTAAACTAAAACATTGCGTAGGAAGTTCGTCAAAATAATGTAGTGTGGCGTAAATTATTTGCCAGTCACTTGTTCCCACGGTATCGAAAGGCCGTATTCAATACTAAATCTGCACGTTTCTTACGTCATAGATAAAACATACTCCCATGATAACGACATGGTTTCTGAGAAACTGCAAACAGACTGAGTTAGCAGTTCATACAGTATTGGCACTTTCCCGTTCTTTTGTTTTTTTTTTCATAACGGGTATGATTTTAAATTATATTTTATTTATTGTACATTAAATTTTACGACAAATATTCCTCAACATAGAAAAGGTCCCTTGAAAATATTTAAGATTTCTTGATGCTAACATCTGCCATATACTTTACGACGTATACCATTAACTGTCTTAGCAGTTTTTCAACAATTTTCAACAACTAATCTCAAATCTTTGACAACGTTTCTAATAGCATACTTAAAATACTCGGTAGAATGCACGTAATCTAAAAAAGTTATCCTATGTCGAATAATAGATTACATTACTTGTCATTTTTGAAAGGACGATACACGTTAAAAACTTCCTAAATATCTTATTGAGGATGACCCGACTTTTCTCACCTCTGGTGACGTAGGAAAACTAATAGAACTTATCCATTATTGGTTCTGGAAATGTGTAGTCGGTTTTAACCCTCCACTTGAAGACACTGACACAACCTTATTTGCGTTTTTCCAGCTTTACTTATTTTAGAACTATTAATTGCAAAATCTATGATTACCGTTTAGAACTATTTATTGCAAAATCTATGATTACCGTGTTTTCAGTGCCGCTGGTTGTTGTGGCCTTATCGCCAGCCTTTCCACTGTTTTCCGTTGTTGTGGCCTTATCGCCAGTCTTTCCACTGTTTTCGGTTGTTGTGACCTCAGCCTTTCCATCATTTTCCGTCCCAGCAGAATTTCCGCCTGGTCCCTCAGCTGCGTCTGGTCCCTCAGCTGCGACTGTTCCCATCCAGTAGATGACTAATGCAATTGCCAGGTAGCTCTTCATGATGGTTTGTCTGGAAAATGTGCGGCGTTGAATTAAAAAATAGTTTATTGCGTATTAGAAAGTAATTTTGTTTGGTACTGTTGGTAATATGTTGGAATATAATCTATTCAAATCTACTTTTTGTCGAAAGAATATTAAAATAGCCATTGGTCTATGACTTTTTTCGGATGTTACTAATTATTGTTATTGGTGGGGTTCTCTCGTAAAAGAATAAATACAGAGTAGTCTAAAGAAACATGTATAATTTTTTTTTACAGTATAATACACCAACAAAACGCAAACGCGGGTAACTGCAAACGCTTATGCAACTGTTGATTTGAAATTCCTATGTAATTCTTATTGAGAATAAACTGTTGTAGTTTGCTTGCTTAGGGATATAATTTGATTAAATTTGTTTATTTCATACATAGTTACTATTAAGATTAATTTTCAATTAAAAAAACGCATTCTTTATTACATTCCCTGTAGCAGCAAACCTAATTACACATTCATATTAATGTTTATTTATTTATTTTACTTTCATTCCAGATACAAGCAATCAATATCAATATCAATACAAGCAATAAATAAATAAATCAATAAAAGGAAATACAGTAAAACACATTTTGAGGGTTGAACAGAGCAAGCAAAACTCTATAAGTTGACATACACATTGATTAATAATTATAATAAAAATTCTAAATATTTCAATCCATCTAATGCATACATCTTTAGTTAAATACTAGCTGAACCCGGCAGACGTTGTCTTGCCTTTGACTATTTATAATCCCGCGGGCTTTGCCCCGTTTACCTTCTTAATTTTCAAGATGATCTCGTTCGCATGGCTCAATCACGTCCTGGTTGAAGTTTGTTCGCTACGCTCACTCACCTTTAGGTTGGAGCTCGTTCGCTACGCTCACCCACCTTTAGGTTGGAGCTCGTTCGCTGCGCTCACTTGCCTTCAGGTTAGCTCGTTCGCTACGCTCACTTGCCTTCAGGTTAGCTCGTTCGCTACGCTAACTCGCCTCCAGGTTGAAGTTCGTTCGCTACGCTCACTCACCTTTTGGTTGCAAATTAGCTGTTGTCATAAACGTAAAAGAAATAATAGTGCTGCACCCTGTTGGTAATCCTTGAAACTTTAATGCTATTGAACATCATAGAACAGAACCAACTTGTTTAATTGAATCAGCTGTTAAGATTCATTCATTCCATTTCTCATAAGGTTAACATGGGAAACTCCAGAGCCACTGGGGCGGAGCCGTTTGGGCGGATCACGAAATTGATGGTGTATAAACCTATTCCATGACATTCTACACGTATGTACCAAGTTTCGTGGCAATCGGTTCAGCGGTGTCTGAGTTTATCACTGCCAAACAAACAAACAAACAAATATATATACAAACATCCTCTTTTATACTTATAGATGAGATTGATGCAGTGGTATTTTTTATAATATTTGTGGCTGTTACAACTTAAGTGTTATTTTTTAAATTAAAGGTGATTGCTATACATTAAATACCCGATTTGTATCACCATGGGTGTTCTGAAATACTGTATTACAGTAAGGCAAAGCACTATATCACTACTAGAATGATGACTTTGGCAAAGTAAAATATAAAAATAAATGATACGACTACTTTTGTAGAATGTTCGTAGGATTATGTTTTTGTTAGTATAGCTTGTGTGCTACTACCATTTTACAATATAAGCTATGTGAACATATTTATACTTCAAAATATACAAAAAGGATACCGTCATACATCTTATCTAAGAAATATTTTAACTAAGCAAATTGGTGTTTTCTAAAATCCTACCTGTTAGTAACGAATGATGTGTACGGAGCAGAATTTTACGCTGTATATATATTAGGTATATGACTCATGACAGCTGGTAAGCTACCACCTGTTATGCGTCATAAACCTAATTGCTGTGTTTTTTAACAAATTTTTAACATCAGGTAACATTAAATATGGCCGATTGGTGAGCTTAGTCATAGATAGTTGTAACTCGAACAATTTCAAAAAAAGTTTCACGGCAATAATTTTTCAATTTCACAAAAATGTTTTCATGTTTCAGAAAATAAAAGTTTTCTCGTCACAAATATCTATCAGCTTCTACGAATATAATGATAAAAGATATCGGTCTCCAATCAACCGGCTATAGCGTTCTGTGAAACCTGTTAAGTAGTAAATAAAATGATTTTGTTATGGTGTATAGGTTTAGATTATTGCCTTTAAGCGTTTTTCATTTTTCACGATGTTGCAGTGTTTAATAACATTGTTACGGTTTTTAGGGGTCGTCGTCTAGTTGTATCGGTTTCTAGTTGTACCTGCTGCATTTTGGCGGCAAGCGTCAAGTTGAAGCTCGTCCAAGATCTGAATGAACTTGACAGGGATTATAATAGACTACAGTTAGATACAACAATAATTGTGTATATTTATAGGCATGGTCTGTGGATGCGGTTCTCCCTGGTGTGGATTAACGTCCGCACTAGTGAGTGCCTCGTCTATCTGCAGTACTTGCCTGATGATTAGACCAATTCGTAAATTACAAGGAAAAAATTCCACCATAAACTACTGTAGTTACCTTAGTTGCCATTGGCTGTCTTAGTCAGTAACAAGACTACAAGATCGCGCCCCTCATCCTCCATTCGTACTTCGCTAAAAAGGTGTTGCGAAGTTTGCGTACAGCAAAATTTGCGCACAGTTGGAATTTAGCGAAGACTGCGTAAACTCGCCAGGTTGGAAAAGGCACGATTGGCACAACCACTCGACCAGATAGACGCCATCGAACGAAGGAAAACGGGAATTTTAAAATTCCCTGTCAACTCTGCACGACAGTCCTTTGCCGGTTATATCACGTATTTTCAAAGGTTAGGTTGGGTTAAGTTAGGTTAGATTGGGTTAGGTCAGGTTAGGTTAGGTTATTATAGGTTATGATAGGTTAGGTTAGGTTAGGTTAGGTTAGTATAGGTTTATTTGGATGCAGCTAGCGCAGTAACCGTAGCTGCAGATTTGTCACGCAACTTAAACCTTGCTTACTTCAATAAGCACCACATTTCATTTTCATTTCATTTCATTATTTGTCATGAGAGCCGAAGCCCCCTGACTACATACCCGGTACCTATCGTGAGACTTACCCGGGCCCCATGATGTAGGCCGAAGCTGACGCATCAACCTTTTGCACATCATGGGCGGATGACTTAAGGTCATCAGGCTCACCGGCTGCCGAAGCAGACCCTTCGGAAAGAGGGTTGCCCCTCAATCCTAACCAGGGTTTCCGGCTACTTGTTTAAGCGTCACTCCACCTGGGTTCCACTAGGTCGGGACCTAGAGGACCATGGTAGAGCGCTCCGACGCATTTAGTGCAAGCAACACTCGGGACCTATCTAATCCCTGACAGGCAAAACCCGCCATCAATAGCCAGAAGGAAGGGGACCGTCAGCACGCTGACCCAACCCCAACCTCCCATTTACACCACTACCCGATCGAGGCCTTACCCAGTTGCTGGGAAACCAGAGATAACCAGAGCGATAGATCCCCAGATACCCCTGGCGGGCTCGGACCCAGCACCCGATCTACTTCGTTTGCCCGTCAGACCCAACATCACTGCCAGGCCATCAGGGTTTCCCAAAAGGAGGCAGGTATAGAAGTGGGATCCACCCGGATGAACCTATCCACCAGAGGTGGCGACACCCTTGACTCAATTGAGGTTCCGGGAAGAACCCCCCACACTCAAGATAACCATACCGTCCGTGCTCAGAGACAGGGATTGGTTTGCATAAGTGCCTACAAACCGTTACCCTCACACTGCGGAAAGTTACGTTGCCCTTGAGTGTCCCCGTGAGCTACGGGTACTTGCCCGTTTTCACCTCCAGGAAAGGTTACTTCCAAAGTCGAAGATTTGTCACACTGAATGCTGGTCGCACACAACAAGCAGGCCGAAGCCCAAAGAACCACAGACACAGGTAGGTTAGAGAATATGATGCACTTCCATCTGTCCTAGAGCTAAACACCCCTCCATCCTGGATAAAGGAATGTCACTGGGACCCAATGCCCAGTCGTCCATGTCTGTGGCCTACTTGAAAATGCCGATACCAACACCGAGCAGTTACCTCCCCTTTGGGGGCTAGGTTTTTCACCTCCCAGGACGAGGCTACTTCCAAAGTCGAGGATATGCCTCACAAAATGTCAGTCGAACACAACAGGTAGGACGAGCCCGAAGAACTCATGTCACAACCACAAGCTACAGGCAGGTGAAAGATCTATGAACTTAATCAACACTAGCAGAGCTGAACACCCCACCACCCTGAATGGAGGGAATGTCACTGGGTACTCTCACTTTGGGTACAACCCAAAGAGGCTGGCTTGTCCAGTCGTCCATAGCTTGTGGCCTACCTGAAGTGCCGGTTCCAACACCGGGCAATTACCTTCCCTCTGGGAGAGCTAGGGTCCGCGTGGTCGCCAGGCCACGTACCAGGCAAGCGTGGGCCCCCTGCGGGCAATAAGCACCACAGCAGGGAATTTGTGGGAAGAAAAATTTTCCATTTTCCCGCATTCTGGCTACCTGGCTGCTACTATTACCTGACCGTGTGGTTGTGCCAATCGTGCCTTTCCGAACCTCACAGGTTGACCCTTCTTTATCCCCTCTATCCAATCTGTTTGAGTACACCACCAAGAACAAGTCAAGTCTGGAAATGTAGAAAGCGGCCTTTCGGCCTTGTCGGTTTTATTCCTATTTACAGTTTTTCTTATGCACATACTTAGCTACTATTACAACTATTTCAATCAAACTATTTCAATCAAAGTTATTAGTAGGTCCCTGTTTATGTTACCCCCCCCCCCCCCTCTTGCAGAAACGGTACAAGTGACAATAATAATAAAGTTTCTAATAAGTGTAGACTACTTTTATTTCTTCTCATAACAGACAGATGCTCGCTCTTTTATCATAACAGCGTGGTTGGCCCCAATCTTTTTACCGATGATTCCAACTCCCCTCCCGCCCCAAAGGGGGTCTAAGATTATTTAAAATCTTGTCTCCTCCCTCTTACTTCAAAGATTATAACTTTATTGCTATACTTATTGAAATAAATTAAGTTTTAGAGTCAATGAATTAACGAATTATCAATCATTAGAGCACCAACTCCGCATCGGGACTCTAACATGTTGTTAAGTAAGTTTTCGGGAAAATGTTTTTATTTTCTTGTACTAGGCTATATCATAATTTATGCATTTGTATTTGCCGCCTACAGAGAGAGAGAGTAGGGGTTTTCAATTCAACCTAGTGGGGTCAGCACAGCACAATGCCCATTGGTGATTGGTGAACTTGGCGAAAGGATATTTTAACATACGAAGATAGTGTCAAGTGTTGTGCCTTCGTCTTGAGGACATTCTACCGTTTTACCTACCATCGCAACTCGACCCGGCGGCCCTTCCTTGTCGCTCACTACGTCCTTCGACATAACTCCAAAGGTACATACATATATCATTCTTAATTAATCCCATATAAATCATTGGTCCTTCGAGGTCGGATATATTGAATTAGTCCTGTGGGATTTATGTTTTTTTACAGTCAATTTTGTCAGAGGTCTAAACATATTTATTATTCAATTTTCAATGTGTCTAACAAAACTGACAAGAAGTGTAGCTCGCCATATTGGCTTCCTTAGTTTGTTGAGCACGAAGGGCGGAGCTTAACTATCAAACGTACATGCGCAGCTACAACATAAATACAAAACTCCAAACGTACATGTTGTGGCGTTACAGCCATAGTTCTATGGTAACATCACAGCTCCCTCCTCCCCCCCCACTCTCTCTCTCTCTCTCTCCCTCGCTCTCTCTCTCTCTCTCTCTCTCTCTCTCTCTCTCTCTCTCTCTCTCTCTCTCTCTCTCTCTCTATCTCTATCTCTGTCTGCAACAGGTGAACAGGTGTTAACGCTAGGGCTTACTGACTGATCTATATAATTAATACGCTACATGAAACTTTGTCGGTTGAACTCCTCCGCCATTTCTTAACCGATTTTATCCCTTGACGTCTCATTGGAAAGAGAGTGTCGTGTAGATTTGCAAACTGGCTTTACATTTTTGAAAAGGTCCCTTGGGCTCTGCCCCAGTGGCTTTGAAAGTTCCGATGTTATCCTTATGAAGAACATAATTGTTTACATTTTAATCAGCTGTATAATTTATTTGCTGTTATTTATTTTTCAATTCAATGAAACGCATCAAGCACATGTAAACATAACCCCCAGGACGGATCGTGTTAGTATGGTTGTATCTTAAATTTATGTATAAATTTAATAAATTAAATTTATGAGACGTTGTTTTGTGTCGCTATGACGGATCGTGTTAGCGTGATTGTAACTTAAACGTGTGCATTTAACTTTGTTTTGTGTAGCTATAATTTATTTATTTGTTGTTTTTTCTTTTGAATGCCTCCGACGCAACGACAAAGAAACATAGACAGGAGGCGTAATTGTGATAACGACCGCAGCTACAGAACAGTGGCGCGTAATAGGCTTAACTCATCACAGTCAGCACCTGACCCTGGACAATCTCAACTAAGGTTACAAATGCGCCCTATAACACCACCCCAAAACGACTTTTCGTTTTTAATTGGCCCTCTATCGATGACCTGCGTTGCCTTTACACAGCGAGGCATTTTGAGAAGGAGAAAACCGGCCGGAATGCTTTAAATTTATCAATAACGAAGATAAACGTGGTCTGAGCTACACACCGGTAATCTTTGAGTTGACTCTTTTAAACTCATTGTAAATATATGACTGTTATTAGTTTTTAAATAACTCCTGTAATACTTTGCAATTGCTCGAATTCGAGCAACATGTACACTAGTACAATATTATTCCTCTAGCCTAGCGCATTGTTACGAACATCCGTTCTGTCAGCTGTGCTGA